TATATTGACCATCAATGTGTGGCATGGTGCTTTTATCTTTATTAACCAAAGGAATTGTGGGAACCCTCCGATGTGTAGAAGTTGCCAACCTGGTCACCACACAACCTATACAAACATTATAGCAATACTATTGGCTGGAAATACCAATAGGACAACCCTTGAGACAAGAGGACTACCTTTGCTCCATTCCAACGTTGCCAGCCTCCCCCTGGACTATTCCGTATCTGACACAGTAGTGTTGGATGCCTGTGTCCCTCAATAACACCCCCCCCAGCTATAGATTTACCACAGCCTGGTGGCTGCGGCCTTCGATGTTTACTTACAAGCCATCACTGTCTTGGTCCCACCTTTGCATTACAGCCCCATGGACTTCTTAGAGCCAAGGCGAAGGGAGAAGAGCCCATAGACTTCTATATGGCTACCTTCTTAGAGCCAAGGTGAAGGGAGAAGAGCCCACAGACTTCTATGTGTAGTTCTTCTCCGGAGGCAGCAGCTGCCAGATTGAGGCAAGTAGGCATCTGTGGAGCGGAGGGTGGGTTAGGGCAAAGGGAGAAAATTGGTTTCAAGAGCGCATCCTGGTTATGAACTGCAGAGAATCTTCTCAGTCTAAACCCAACAACAGATCGGAGTTGTAATGCACGCAGGTACCATCTGACCCAACCGAAATATGGCAAGTGGTAAATAAAATGAATGTACAAGTGAACCGATCCCCGCAGCCTCTTCTCCCCCTGGGCTCCGGTGCCTAAGGACTGCTGACTTCATCATGACTTATGCAGGTCCATTGGCTTAGATGTGAGGATTTCGAGGAACACAGCCGGAGCTGAGGGGGAGAGGAGGCAAGTGCCGAGCACCACAGGACTGAGGATCAGGTGAGTAGGTCTGCTTTATTGGGGTCCCCTAGACACAATGAGCACTTAAAGTATGGGGGGGGGTAGCCCCACTGCAAGAGTAAGTTGGAGAAGGAGAACAGGAACGACCCGTGATGACACCAGAGCCCTGGTAAAAACGCATGTATAACAAAAGGTGGTTGCATGTGCTTGTTTGGGGTGGGGGGTTGGGTCGTTTGAAGCCAGAGTTCTGCTTTAATGTGACCTTGGTCCAGTATATCAGTTATGGATGAACTCGGCTTGAACTCAAAAGGAAAACTTGAAGAATATCCAGTAAAAGGCCGGGAGGTATCACTGCCGAGAAAATGAGATCATGCATGCTGCTGCATATACTCGCACGTTTCATTCAATGATGGTCCATAATTACCCAAAAAAAGGAGGCAATTTCTAAATTATTAAAGAGGATTTAAAAAAAAAAAAACCACAACTCAATTTTAAACGGTGCCAAGAAATAAAAAGAAGGATGATTTTTCTTTGTAAAGTCAGCGTTTGAGCTTCATTTCTGTCCAAACTTGAATCCTCCAAAGACTGGGAGCAGCTTGTTGTTTTAGTGACTTATGCAGCGAACAGATAATGAAAATGCCGAGGGCAAGACTGCACCCCGGAAGTAAACAAAAGTTACAGATTGTTCCTTTAAACCAACAATCACCCTTCTAAGTGCAAGTCATCTGTGAACTGATGAACCTGGAAAAGCTGACCCCCCCCCCCCTTCATCAGGGTATCAATTGTATATTGACCATCAATGTGTGGCATGGTGCTTTTATCTTTATTAACCAAAGGAATTGTGGGAACCCTCCGATGTGTAGAAGTTGCCAACCTGGTCACCACACAACCTATACAAACATTATAGCAATACTATTGGCTGGAAATACCAATAGGACAACCCTTGAGACAAGAGGACTACCTTTGCTCCATTCCAACGTTGCCAGCCTCCCCCTGGACTATTCCGTATCTGACACAGTAGTGTTGGATGCCTGTGTCCCTCAATAACACCCCCCCCAGCTATAGATTTACCACAGCCTGGTGGCTGCGGCCTTCGATGTTTACTTACAAGCCATCACTGTCTTGGTCCCACCTTTGCATTACAGCCCCATGGACTTCTTAGAGCCAAGGCGAAGGGAGAAGAGCCCATAGACTTCTATATGGCTACCTTCTTAGAGCCAAGGTGAAGGGAGAAGAGCCCACAGACTTCTATGTGTAGTTCTTCTCCGGAGGCAGCAGCTGCCAGATTGAGGCAAGTAGGCATCTGTGGAGCGGAGGGTGGGTTAGGGCAAAGGGAGAAAATTGGTTTCAAGAGCGCATCCTGGTTATGAACTGCAGAGAATCTTCTCAGTCTAAACCCAACAACAGATCGGAGTTGTAATGCACGCAGGTACCATCTGACCCAACCGAAATATGGCAAGTGGTAAATAAAATGAATGTACAAGTGAACCGATCCCCGCAGCCTCTTCTCCCCCTGGGCTCCGGTGCCTAAGGACTGCTGACTTCATCATGACTTATGCAGGTCCATTGGCTTAGATGTGAGGATTTCGAGGAACACAGCCGGAGCTGAGGGGGAGAGGAGGCAAGTGCCGAGCACCACAGGACTGAGGATCAGGTGAGTAGGTCTGCTTTATTGGGGTCCCCTAGACACAATGAGCACTTAAAGTATGGGGGGGGGTAGCCCCACTGCAAGAGTAAGTTGGAGAAGGAGAACAGGAACGACCCGTGATGACACCAGAGCCCTGGTAAAAACGCATGTATAACAAAAGGTGGTTGCATGTGCTTGTTTGGGGTGGGGGGTTGGGTCGTTTGAAGCCAGAGTTCTGCTTTAATGTGACCTTGGTCCAGTATATCAGTTATGGATGAACTCGGCTTGAACTCAAAAGGAAAACTTGAAGAATATCCAGTAAAAGGCCGGGAGGTATCACTGCCGAGAAAATGAGATCATGCATGCTGCTGCATATACTCGCACGTTTCATTCAATGATGGTCCATAATTACCCAAAAAAAGGAGGCAATTTCTAAATTATTAAAGAGGATTTAAAAAAAAAAAAACCACAACTCAATTTTAAACGGTGCCAAGAAATAAAAAGAAGGATGATTTTTCTTTGTAAAGTCAGCGTTTGAGCTTCATTTCTGTCCAAACTTGAATCCTCCAAAGACTGGGAGCAGCTTGTTGTTTTAGTGACTTATGCAGCGAACAGATAATGAAAATGCCGAGGGCAAGACTGCACCCCGGAAGTAAACAAAAGTTACAGATTGTTCCTTTAAACCAACAATCACCCTTCTAAGTGCAAGTCATCTGTGAACTGATGAACCTGGAAAAGCTGCAGGTTTGAGCCAGAAAAGTAGACTCGTGGTGACCTCCACACATTACCACGTACGCTCCACTCACACATCCATCATCCGCTTACTATTCGGAGTGACCTATTGTTAAAAATATGCAGAAAGACATAGACCAGTACTGCCGGCAACTATCCCGCTCGGAGCACAAGAGGAAACGATGAAAAAGATGCCATCGGTATTCCCATGATGACCGTCAAGATGGAGGAATGCTGTTTCTGCATTCACTCGGATTGTAGAGTGTTATATGGAGGACTGCGCGGAGCAAAAACGGAATTAAAAGCAATACAGAGAAAAAGCGAAGTCCCCCAAAGCAACCAGATTCCCAGAATTTTAACCACTTGCTGACCGCGGTGTTAACACCCCCTTCCTGTCCAGGCCATTTTTCAGTATTCAGTGGTGGTATTTAATCACCAATAGGGTTGTTTTTTTTTTTTACTATATAATGAAAAAAGTATAGAAAATTTTGGAAAAAAAAACCTGTTCTCCCTACGTTATGTTATAAAACATTTATTACCCAATTTTTTGGTCAAATATAAAAGACGGGGTCAGGTCGGGTAAATAGACACCAAACATGTCAAGCTTTAAAACTACCATACTCAAAATTGACCATAGCCGACGCTTTAAAAGCTTTTACCGCTCATCAGTTTAGTGTTATCCGTGATTAATTGCCCTAGAACTATTGCTCTCACTCCGACGTTCGCGGCGATATGTAACATGTGCGGCGCAATGGATGTAATCAGCGTTTTCGCACGTAGGCGGGCTTGACGCATGTTTGCATGAGGGGGCGGGGGACTTTAATTTTTTTATTATTGCTTTGATATGTGATTTTAATTTTTTTTGTAGCTTACATTTTTTTTTTTTAAACCTTTTTTTCCCCACTGAACTTTATTGCTATCACATAGGGAGCAAACAAGCTCCCTATGTGATAGCCAATTTGCAGTGACAGGTCCTCTTTATGGAGACATCAGGGGTCTTTAAGACCCCTAATGTCACCTTGGGACCCCCAGAGAAGCTGATGAAGCGGAGACCTGCTTCTCTCTGGTTTCTGTACCGGAGAGTGACACTGAATGCAGGAAGCTATGTAATACACATCACTGCCTGCATTCAGAAGAGGAGATCAAATGGAGATTGTGTACTGAGCTCCGTTGTATCTTCGGCCGCTGTGCTGGTCCTGGGCTCACACCGGGCACAGCGGAGCCCGGGATCGCCAGCAGCGGCGGCGACGGAGGCACACACCTGACCGCATATTTGCAAGCGATCGGGCGTCTCTACAGGCGTGAACATGAGAGATCCTGGACTTATAAATCCCCAACATGGACTCACCCCAATCCCCCTTCA